AATTCTTTCGTGTTTTTCTGGCGAAACATTTGGTTCGTTTTATCATGAAACGTGAGAGCAATTTGAGATTTAGCAATTTTTTAATGTAAACTCACTTTTAACTGAAAATTATATTGTTATAAATCATTTTTTTCCTCAGCTGTACAGATAACCATCAGTTCTTTAAGTGAAAGTATAACTCATCATCATTTTGTGCAAAGCTATAGGAAAAGTATTAGATCTCATTTTTTGTTTTATGAAGGTCTCTATCACGAAACTTTGCTTTGTACATTAAGCAACTTTGTTGAAGGTCAATTTACTGACATGGGACGAAAAAATGGATTTGCACAAATTTGCTCCTTGGAAAGATGTCGCAAAGATATAAATCCTGAGCAGCAAACATGTAGCAAACATGGTAAATGCCACATTTGCCTACTTATTTACACTCCCTGTTTTTGCTGCTCAATATTTACATATTTGCGACATATTTGCAAGGAGCAAATTTGTGTAAGTCCATTTTTTTGCCCAGTGCGCATGTGATCTAGACGTTTTCACAGCTGGGCATAGCATAACATGGCAAATCCAATACAGTAGAACCCCGGTAACTCGAACTCTGAAGGGAAACGAAGAACAGTTCGAGTTAGCGAGGGTTTGGGTTTTGTGGGTCGATGGCAAAAGTCAATTTGCCATGTTAAAAATTAAATCGATAGTTACTGATTTTTCAGCACTTAAGCGTAATTGGTGCAATGCAAATGTAACTTATTTCATCAAAAAGGGTAACATGATTAGGCATTTTTAATGATAAAACGTGATCTGTTCTTTCCACCAATGAAAATCAAATTGCTTTAGTGTTGAACAGTGTTAATCAGTTAGTGTTTTTACCCAGGCTTTTTACAACATAAAGAGCTCATGGGATGGCATTTGAGTTGAGTTCAAACAACCAGAATTCGAGTTATGGGGGTAAATTTCAGCGAGTTTTTTTATCAAGGAAAAAGAAATTTAGCTCCAGTTAAGGGGAAATTCAAGTTATCCGAGTTCGAGTTTCTGGTGAAACATTTGTTTTGTTCATTATCATCAAACGTGACAGCAATCTTAGAGTTACCAATTTATTCACGTAAAGTCACTTTTAACTGAAAATTATGTTGCAATAAATGCTTTTTTTCCCCTGCTGTGGACAGGCTTAATCCAGAGATAGAAGAGCATGGCAATCTGTTTTTGTAAAGGTGTAAAACATCATCAATTTTGCAAAGCTACAGGAAAGATATCAGATATAGCTATATTCTGACCGTCTCTATCACGAAACTTCACTTTGTACATTGCGCAACTTTTGTGAAGGTCAATTTACTGGTGGTAGACGTTTTCCCAGCTGGGCATAACATAACATGGCAAATCCAATATTTAAAAAAGAAAACAGAAAATAATGACTTCTTTTGAAGAGACAGATATGTTAGATTTACCTTTTTCTTTGTGGAAACTTTTTTTTCTAACTAATCATTCTGGCAACTAACTCATTTTTTTTCTTAACTGGGCATCAAAAGGTAATTTATTAAAAACTTTTTAATTGTAAAAGTACTTTTTTTACAAACAAATAATATTGTAAAGAAAAACTGCTTTTTTTATGTAAAATACCTCATGCCTTTTTGCAAGTACATAGTTGTAAAACACCGGATTTAATTTTACAGAAATGTATTTTTGTAAGAAAGCTGCTTTTTTATGTTAAAATCCTACTTTTTTACAACTAAATAATTGCAAAAATGTGCTTTTTCGCAAAAATATACATTTGTAAAATAGATGTCTTTTGTTCGAAAACGCCTCCAAACGTTGTGTGTTTCAATTATTTTTGCCCGTTTACACGAAAACGCACAATGGTGCCATCATTAATCAGTCCGGAATATCCCTAAATTTAAGGACAGGGCCAGCTGGTCACGCGACACTTTTCAACCAATGAGAAGGCGCGCTTGTGCTTATCAACAAACGAATAAAAAACATCGCCCCAGTGCTCAAAAATTTTCAAAAAAACGGACGGGGTCGACTTCCCTGCTAGAAGAGGTCTCTCACGACGAGGCAAAAATGAGAGAAAGGAGAGAGAGAGTCTCTCTCCTTTCTCTCATTTTTGCCTCGTCGTGAGAGACCTCTGCTAGCAGGGAAGGATTCGACGGACAGAATTAAAGATGAGCTTACAGTACTCGTCTAGGTTTCACATTTAATATTTCAAAGAAAACATTTCATGTAAGAGAATAAGAGCATTATTCATTGCAAGGAATCATTGGGGTGTTCGAACTGAAACCGGACTGAGCGCAGAGGTCGTGGCTTCACTGGCATTGCTTGCAAGATTTTTGATAGAAGCAAACTGGTCCCGAGTAAAAATAGCCTTACAGAGAGTGTGAAAATTTGTTGAGATCATACAAAACAGGATCGTACTGCCTATTAGCTTCTACAGGACAAGAATCAAAGAACCAGTCATTATAACAAGAATAAAAAGTAGTTCAAATTTATTAATTTTTCTTGTTTGTTTTTTGGTGTTGTTTCATGTTGACTTCACGCATCTGGTGCTTTCCTTGCTTGCTGTAGTACCTGCAATGTTTTAATTTTATCCCAGATTTAGTGCATGTTCAATGAGTAGCGAAATACATCATTTACTATTGAAATTTGCCTTCTTTCGTTGATTGTTTTTTAACGGTGGATGAACCTTTGGAGAATCCAGCAACATTAAATCTTTCCAGATTTGGTGAATTTCAGAAACAAAGCGGTTAGTATCTACCTTGCGCTTATGATCTTCAATTTCATCCCCGCAAATTCGGCAAAGTGAGGCGAGATGTAGGACGTGAATATTCATAAGACTAATAAAGTTGTTTTGGCCTTGAAAAGAAAAAAGGCAAAGGCTCGTTCTAATGCGAAAAAAAGTAATAACACAGCTCTGTGAGAAACCCGGGAATGGAAAACGTACGTGTTTTGGACCTCGGAATTCAAAACTGGTCTACCAAAATTCTAGGTTGTCTACCATCCCCACATTCAACATGATAAAAGTTAATCGATATGACAATCGAGGAAAAATATCTAGAACTTCGTAAAAAAAAATCTGTGAATCGAAAAAAGAATAGATACCTGTTCACCTACCTTGAAAACCGACCAAAATCTCGCCCATACATGGCGTTGTTTAAAGAAGAAATATCACGATAAACTGTTTTTCACTGGATTCAAGAATGAGTTAGGGAGACGAATCGGACAAACTATATTGATTTCTTACATGTTCACTATCGGTAAATCTATCAAATTCTTATTGTGTGGCGTTGCACTTAGATTTGTAGACACTCTCAGAGAGCAAGATTTCTCCTCCTGTGTGGATTATTTATGGAAATTTAATTCATTTGGATAAAGTAACTGTATTGCGAACGGCAAGCAGACTCTAAACTTCTTGTGTACTTATTCATGCAGTCGCACGGTGTATTTGCACAACTATATGTGACCAATAGCTAGGAGGATGAAGCCTAAAGGTGTAGAACTAAACTGTAGTTACTTATAAAGATTGACGCTGCATTTTCTTTTATAGCAAGAGATCCACACTTAATCCATCCTTGGAGACCCAGGGGCGGTTAGTCGGGTCGGGATAAAATGCGGCGAAAGTTTTCAGAAACGAATGAGAGAGCCCCTGGGGTGCTACTTTTAAGACCACTTCGGTTCCACGACTCTTTTGAATGCTTGTCTCTGATTGGGCAGGAAAAAAATATTTGTGTACCCAATCGGAGACCAGCATCTATCGCGCTGCTTTTGTGATCTTCTTATTTGAAGGATTTTTAAAACCTGAAAACTCGACTGCGCGCCGTAGATCGCCGTACCTGGAATTTCTTTAATTAGCAATAACTTTGTGACATTATAATAGATTTCAGTGGAGTTTTCACTTGACAGCATCCTGTTTGTATTGTAGATCAGTGGCAGATCCCGGGGAGGGGTCCGGGGGGCACTGAAAACCAGCAATACAGCCATGGGGAGCCGTATGTGCTTGTCATCTTTTACATTTTTTTTCTCTTGAGTGTTATCAATAAAAACTTTTCGAGAAAACATGGACAATATTCAGATCAAGAGCGATTAACATAAGTTGGCAGCCCCAACTGTTACGTTCCCATGCCTTCATAAAGAGTATTGATATTATAAATTCTCGGGAAGAGTTCAAGCAATAAAAGACTGCTGATTTTGGCTTCATACTTTGCCATCCGATGTAAAGCTGAAAAACATTTTTAAACTTGCCTGATATTCAGATTAGTAGTTATTTATCTCTCAGGAGTGATAGAGCAAAGAACAGCCTGCGTGTATTGACGCTCGTCTTGTTTGCACGGTAATTGGAAAACTCTGGTATATATCTATCAAATCAATCAAATCAATCAACTTTATTTAAACACGGTAAATGGCTCAGCAAGCTGGTTTTCAGACATGCCGTGTGATAATTACAATTTACAAAGAAGCATTCAAAATAACTCATTCATGCATGTTATAAGTACCTGTAGAGTATGAGAATCATTGAATGATTATTGAATAAATTATTAACGAATATCCTCGAATATTCTTGAAATTTCGATTTTTCTTTTTGGTTTTTATTTTACGAGTTCCAGAAGAAATTTCTCGCATACAGGTATAAACAGTTTCAGCTGTATAAGAGGACAGGGGACTTTGTAACAATATCATACACGTGCTTGATTTTAAAGGACAATTTAACGTTTTATTTGCTATTGTTTAGCCACCTTTACAACATATTGCCGCAACAGTAGATTTCTAGCAAATGAAAATCTTACACTATCTCAAACGACTACTTTTAACCCAATTTAGCCAACTTGATTAATTGAGGAAAAAGGAAACTAACATGGTTTGTCATTTGGACAGGAAGGAAAATCTTCCAATGAGGCACAATCAAGATACCACTGGTATTCGCAACCTCCGCTACGATCATCGGTGTCATCTCGAAAAGGTGCGGTCCAGATGGGATCAAAGGTAGTTGTCCATCCGCTACAGGACTCTCGGTTTAACTGGCACTGAGAGCTACCCTCCGTTTCCTTAAAGCAGATCCGACACACCTCGTATTTGTTACCATCGGTCGCATCTTGTGACTCAATCTTCCACTGATATTTGCAACCGCCACTTCTGTCATCGGTATCATCGCGGAAAGGAGCCGTCCAATTGGCGTTTGAACTCCATTCGGTGCACGAGCTTCGTGATAACTGACATTGTGAGCTCCCTTCCGTCTCTTGAAAGCAGAGTCGATATTCTTGATTTACGGGCATCGTGCCATATCTCTCGATTCTCCATTGGTACTCGCATCCGCCAGGTCGATCATCGGTGTCATCTCGGAAATAGTCAGTCCAGTCAGGGTTGGAACTAAATCCACTGCAACTTTGCGATATCCCTTCAAGACACTGAGAGCTTTGTTCCGTTTCTTTGAAGCAAATCCTCAGATCGTTTTGAGTCCAACATCCGGAAAGCCAGGTGATGACTGAAAAGGCAATGAGTGATAGGCGTTGGCTCTGCATGACTTGTTGGCCTTGTTATTTCCTATAAAGTTGAAAAACGTGCATTAATCCATTAGTCCATATACATGCAAACAACAAAGTCGAAACAAAAAGTTTTAACTCGAGTCTCAAGCACTTGGAAATTAGCAGAAAGAAACGTAAATCATTATGTAATCATTATTATAAATAGTTGGCGGCAGTTCCATGCGGCAACTGTTTGAATTTGGTAAATTTCGTGTCGCAGTTCGTTCAAAAAGAGAAACGTTATGGGCAGATAGAAGACACATCTGAGACTAAAAGGACAGCAACGTTAACTAACATATCAAATGACGCATCATCAAACGAGCAAACGTTTACAAAAAGAATCTCTTCCCGATCCAATCTTTCTCTGTCTTAAAGTATGTAATCTTTCTGGCCGTATCGTTTCTCTTTTTAAGAGAACTAAATTCGTCACAAAGCGCCTTAAAACAGATTCTACATAGGAAATTAGAGGTATTCGCCCAATTTCTGAAAGCAGCATCAAGCTTAGTACGTTCAGCAATTGATTATTATGCCATATAAATTTATGCTGAAAATGTTTAGCTTACCTCGCTTTTAGTTTAGGCTCAAAGACTGTGCGTTGGTCAGCAACCAAAAGCAATCTGTTTAAAGCAGAACCCAACACGATAACTTTATAGATGAGGAAAAATACGTTTTGGCAGCTGGACATACCGTAAATGATCTAATATTTAACGCCCACTCTCAAATAAACGCCCCCTCTACAACGTTAAATTTGTTTTAGACGCCATTCTCTAATAAACACCACATGTCTCACAGACGCCCCCTCTTAAATACAAAGAAATGGCGAAATGGAGCACCTTTTTTTTTCATGTTATTCCGTTCCTTATTAGCCTCACATGCAGGCGTTTTTAGGGGAGCTCGTTTTTCTTCCCTCCCCACAAGAAGGAGGGATGAAAAACGAGGTCCCCTAAAAATGCCTGCGTGGGGGGCTAGTTCCTTACTTGATTAACAAGGGTTTGTTTATTGCAGCTCAGTGTTCAATGTCAAGTTTACAGGGTGTCCCAAAAGTTCGTTTCTCTAATTTCATGAGCGAAAACTTTTCATCAAAACTTTATTTTGAAATGAAATTTCTAAAAGATTTTTATTGCTCTATCGAGTTCATGTATTCAGAAGTTCAGTAATTGGTGCATGGCCCCTTGCTTTTCTATCACGCTCTGTAGCGGTTGTGGCATTGAGTCGCGTGAGTCTTGTAGCGTGTAAAGCCCCTGATGATTCATTTCAATTTTTTTATCACCTGGTATACAGGAGCCACTTCGAGTCCCCAAGATAGTTTTTTAGATTGAACAGCTGAAAACAATATTTTCGGCATTGATCCAAGAAAAGATAATCATCGCGGCCCCTTTCCACAGCAAGGCTTTTGTACCTCTTTACAAATTTGAGACAAGCTAATCAAAACGTTGCTTTTTATGAAGAGAACCTGCTCCAAACAGTATTAAATTATGGAACCAAATATGTAAATTAATTCAGCCTAGTGACTTTCTAATCATAAAGACTTTAAAGAATAGGATAACTAACTTGTACAAAGATGAATCAGCAAATGTCTTTTACACCGATAAACAATGTTCATGGCGTCTTGCACGTAATTTAGGGGGGCCACTGGCAACAATTATAGTTTAATAACTAAAGCATTTCTTAAGTTTTTTCCTGATTTAGTTGGGATGTGCCCTGCATGGAACTCCAGGTCTCGTTTGAACCTTAACCTTTGGTCTTCTTTTTTTTTTTTCGTTCAGTGTAAGTATTTTTTTTTCGTTACTGTAACTATTTATTTAGAGAGACTCAGACCAATAAAGTTGATAAAACAAAAACGATACAAAACAAAACTTAGCCTGACATTTGTTGTGACAGCTACCTCGTCGGGTTTCCTCTATTGTACCTAACTTTCGTTCCAAAAAACTGTGTGAGCGGTTTTATTCCGAACTTTCGGACTTTCCCCCCCGTTTGTTGTCTTTAAAACCTTAGTTTCTCGATAACCATCTTTCCATCCAACATTCGGATTTTTCCATTTTTTTTTTAAAGTAATTTCTTTAACTGATAAGCCAGTAGATCAAAGTAAACATGCTTATGCTCTTATGTAGCTGAGTGTTTTTCGTTGAGAGGGTTCATCTTTCGTGATTTTCACAAAAACGAGGTACATTGTAGGAGTTCGAGCAATTTGGGCTACAAAAATACAAAAAAATATGGCGAGAAAATTTACTCGCGCAGGCAGACCTTTCGTGCGAAAGTACACTAATCGAATATTCGAGTCAAAAGATGGCACAGTAACTATGAAATATTAAAAAAAAAAAAACATTGAAAGACACAACTTTTGGTTAAATTATTTGCCTGTCAAGTCTAATCAGGCTTGTAAAGTGGAGGAGCGAAGATTTGGGACACCCTGTGAGGTAGCCAGCGCTCTTTTATCTTCTTTACTCTGTGCTCATGATCAGTTTGTCAGCAATTTTTTCCTGCATATAAATGCTTTCTAACGAGTGTCGAAAAACGGATGGACTGGATTTTCGCCGAAAGCATACCGTATCCGTTCTGTCTAGTTTTTGTCAAATAAACGCCCTTAGCGTTTACAGTAGCTCATTTACAGTACCTTTGCATGGCAAATAATCATTCCATCAGGAGAGACAGATCATGGATTCACCGATATTTTTGTGTAAATTCAATTACAGTTGATCGTACGTGGTTTTTAGAACTAAGAAAATTTTATCTCAGTTTGGCATACAACATGGCAAATCCAGTGAAAATTTTGAAAATAATTAATCCATCAGAAGAGAATGATAAGTTTCAGTTACCTTTCATCACGTAAACGTGTAAATTACAAATCATTCCTTTTTTTTGCAACTTTAAAAAAAACTTAAGATTAAATTCTTTCGTGTTTTTCTGGCGAAACATTTGGTTCGTTTTATCATGAAACGTGAGAGCAATTTGAGATTTAGCAATTTTTTAATGTAAACTCACTTTTAACTGAAAATTATATTGTTATAAATCATTTTTTCCCTCAGCTGTACAGATAACCATCAGTTCTTTAAGTGAAAGTATAACTCATCATCATTTTGTGCAAAGCTATAGGAAAAGTATTAGATCTCATTTTTTGTTTTATGAAGGTCTCTATCACGAAACTTTGCTTTGTACATTGAGCAACTTTGTTGAAGGTCAAGTTACTGACACGGGACGAAAAAATGGATTTGCACAAATTTGCTCCTTGGAAATATGTCGCAAAGATATAAATCCTGAGCAGCAAACATATAGCAAACATGGTAAATGCCACATTTGCCTAGTTATTTACACTCCCTGTTTTTGCTCCTCAATATTTACATATTTGCGACATATTTACAAGGAGCAAATTTGTGTAAGTCCATTTTTTTGCCCAGTGTGCATGTGCGTGATCTAGACGTTTTCACTGCTGGGCATAGCATAACATGGCAAATCCAATACAGTAGAACCCCGGTAACTCGAACTCTGAAGGGAAACGAAGAACAGCTCGAGTTAGCGAGGGTTTGGGTTATGTGGGTCGATGGCAAAAGTCAATTTGCCATGTTAAAAATCGATAGTTACTGATTTTTCAGCACTTCAGCGTAATTGGTGCAATGCAAATGTAACTTATTTCATCAGAAAGGGTAACATGATTAGGCATTTTTAATGATAAAACGTGATCTGTTCTTTCCACCGATAAAAATCAAATTGCTTTAGTGTTGAACAGTGTTAATCAGTTAGTGTTTTTACCCAGGCTTTTTACAACATAAAGAGATCATGGGATGGCATTTGAGTTGAGTTTAAAGAACCAGAATTCGAGTTATGGGGGTAAATTTCAGCGAGTTTTTTCATCAAGGAAAAAGAGATTTTAGTTCCAGTTAACGGGAAATTCAAGTTATCCGAGTTCGAGTTTCTGGTGAAACATTTGTTTTGTTCATTATCATCAAACGTGACAGCAATAAAATCACTTTGAACTGAAAATTATGTTGCAATAAATGCTTTTTTTCCCCTGCTGTGGAAAGGCTTAATCCAGAGATAGAAGAGCATGGCAATCTGTTTTTGTAAAGATGTAAAACATCATCAATTTTGCAAAGCTACAGGAAAGATATCAGATATAGTTATATTCTGACCGTCTCTATCACGAAACTTCACCTTGTACATTGCGCAACTTTTGTGAAGGTCAATTTACTGATGGTAGACGTTTTCCCAGCTGGGCATAGCATAACATGGCAAATCCAATATTTAAAAAAGAAAACAGAAAATAATGACTTCTTTTGAAGAGACAGATATGTTAGATTTACCTTTTTCTTTATGGAAACTTTTTTTTCTAACTAATGATTCTTGCAACTAACTCATTTTTTTTCTTAACTGGGCATAAAAAGGTAATTTATTAAAAACTTTTTAATTGTAAAAGTACTTTTTTTACAAACAAATAATATTGTAAAGAAAAACTGCTTTTTTTATGTAAAATACCTCATGCCTTTTTGCAAGTACATAGTTGTAAAACACCGGATTTAATTTTACAGAAATGTATTTTTGGAAAAAAGCTGCTTTTTTATATATATGTTAAAATCCTACTTTTTTACAACTAAATAATTTGCAAAAATGTGTTTTTTCGCAAAAATATACATTTGTAAAATAGATGTCTTTTGTTCGAAAACGCCTCCAAACGTTGTGTGTTTCAATTATTTTTGCCCGTGTACACGAAAACGCACAATGGTGCCGTCATTAATCAGTCCGGAATATCCCTAAATTTAAGGACAGGACCAGCTGGTCACGCGACACTTTTCAACCAATGAGAAGGCGCGCTTGTGCTAATCAACAAACGAATCAAAACATCGCCCCAGAGCTCAAAAATTTTCAAAAAAACGGACGGGGTCGACTTCCCTGCTAGAAGAGGTCTCTCACGACGAGGCAAAAATGAGAGAAAGGAGAGAGAGAGAGTCTCTCTCCTTTCTCTCATTTTTGCCTCGTCGTGAGAGACCTCTGCTAGCAGGGAAGGAGTCGACGGACAGAATTAAAGATGAGCTTACAGTACTCGTCTAGGTTTCACATTTAATATTTCAAAGAAAACATTTCATGTAAGAGAATAAGAGCATTATTCATTGCAAGGAATCATTGGGGTGTTCGAACTGAAACCGGACTGAGCGCAGAGGTCGTGGCTTCACTGGCATGGCTTGCAAGATTTTTGATAGAAGCAAACTGGTCCCGTGTAAAAATAGTCTTACAGAGAGTGTGAAAATTTGCTGAGATCATACAAAACAGGATCATTACTACCTATTAGCTTCTACAGGACAAGAATCAAAGAACCAGTCATCATAACAAGAATAAAAAGTAGTTCAAATTTATTAATTTTTCTTGTTTGTTTTTTGGTGTTGTTTCATGTTGACTTCACGCATCTGGTGCTTTCCTTGCTTGCTGTAGTACCTGCAATGTTTTAATTTTATCCCAGATTTAGTGCATGTTCAATGCATGTTCAAATACATCATTTACTATTGAAATTTGCCTTCTTTCTTTGATTGTTTTTTAACGGTGGATGAATATTTGGAGAATCCAGCAACCTTAAATCTTTCCAGATTTGGTGAATTTCAGAGACAAAGCGGTTAGTATC